ACACGCACACACACACACACACACGCACACACACACACACTCACACACACACACACACACACACACACACACTCACAATGTGCGTCTGTATGTATCAGCGGCCTCTTGCGGTTGCTTAATAACATCACATTTTACATCGCACTTTCTGAACACTAGTCACTAGATGAATCCCTAACATTTATGAATCTGGGCCGTTGAGCTCAAAGTTCATTGAAACAGCTCAGTAAATAGTTGGCTCTTAAATTCAAGAAAATCCAAGACTCTAATAACCACACATGTGGGTGAAAGTGGAGCAAGTTTTTTTAAACTGCTCCAGAGACGACAATTTCAAGCACTATACTTTTTGGAATTACATAAAATACTTTCTAGTGCACAATTATTTACATTAAAATAAAAAGATTCTGCATTACAATTTTAAAACTGCTTTAAATATTTGTTTAAACCAAATCAGTACATGACACTTCCCTGACAACAAAACCCTCCATTTTTAGAATTTTCAAAAGGGCAAATAATAATAATAATAAGCAGAAAGACTGTCAAATTTACAGGCATACATTACACAAAGTATATAAACGTACATTTATTTTAGCGATATTATAATTAGACTGGCTCTATGTATACATACTGGGCCTGAGTGAGAACGGTTGCTCAACGGAACCATGAGCGAAACCTGGCCGAAGCACGGACATAAGGAAACGGCAACCGGAAGTGTCCGTCCTGAAATGTGTTCCGTGTAGGCGCAGTGTAAAGATCATAGGCTGTATGGTAAAGATGGAGTGTGTGAATAAAACGGGACAGCTCATGAGTCTGGCGGCTCTACAGCAGCATGACCCCTACATAGTGAACCTGCTGGACGTCGCCGGACAGGTCGCGCTCTATACTTTCAACTCCAAAGCAAACGAATGGGTGAGATTTGAAAATGCGCACGTCAGTTAGCCTGCAGTTGCTAATAGCAACGCCGCCAGCTCGGTTTCTCGTTTCTGGAGTTTGCTGTATTTTTAAGTTTAAGTTTGTAAGTTTACTGGAACATCAGTGTCATATATTAGCAGTCAAGATAAACATACCTAGGAGCTGATGTATGATTAAAGGCGAGCTCGTCATCTGATGATAAACTAATAAACTAATCTGAAAGTAAAATCAGTATGACTTTCTGTCAGTCTCCTGCAAATGAAATTGATATCAGCTTTTATCTGACAGTAAAATCACTACAAACTCAAAGCCACGCTTCAGTCAACCATTGTATTTCTTTTGGTAAGTCATTGTATTAGTATTGAATATGAAAGCTGTTTGAAAACTAACACATCTCTCTCACTTTAGGAAAAGACTGAGATTGAAGGCACATTATTTGTTTATGCCAGGTGAGCGATGACTGACTGGACCTGTGAAGGCCCACAATAGTCGTTATATTATTAGTAACACACTGATCTGTCCTGTAGTGGTGTGGTGTAATGTAAGGATGACTGGTTTCCTGCAGGTCGGCTTCTCCCCATCATGGCTTCACAATTATGAACCGTTTGAGTACAGAAAACTTAGTGGAGCCGATCAATAAAGACCTGGAGTTCCAGCTCCAGGACCCTTTCCTACTGTACAGGAACGGCAACTGTAAGTGTTCATCTGTTATCCATCCGTTGCAGTGAGAAGAGCCCTGTTTGACTCTTGCATCATTTGTCATCATTGACTCTTCAGCGTTTCGCTTATAAACTGTGCTGTATCATATTCCATACGCATATTTCTAAGGCCTCCAGATGATCAAAACTTTGCTGAAAGACCCGTTCTGATTGATAGTTTATCATTTTTAGCATGTAAAAGACCTTTTAGTATAATTGTAAAAACGTCCACCTTCAGCTTGTGCTTCTTTATGCCGTCAAATTTGTACTGATTTTAATCACGTAAATATAAGAATAGCTTTTACATCAGTAGCATTTCAAGATGAACACTTACTGGACTGAAGCAACTTAGATTTATGCATTTTTTAGACAAATCATGTTAAGATGTGAGGATCAAATCCTCCATCAGGCTTTTGAGGAGCATTTATTTGTTCATCTCTCAGTCATCAATGTATTGCATTGCCTTGTATGTTTTCAAACTATAGAGTTTTGATCATAAAACCAAGCATGTAACCAACTAAGCATCTGCATCAAATTGCATATTTATGCTCAGTTCGGGCCTCTGAATAAAAAGTATGAGCTCCATATTCTCTCTGTATCATACTGTTTGAGTCATAAAAGCCTGATGCATCAAACATGATACTAAACAAAGAACACGCATTGCAAACGTATTTTAGATGTGTTTTATATTTTGTCTAAAGGTTCAATAAACTGTTCCTTTAAAAAAATTAAACAATTATTTTATATGTCAAGCTTTATAGGGTTGAAGTGTTTCTTTACTAAGAGTGAAGCAAATATCAGATCTTCCTATTAATGAAACAAGACTTCTGAATATTATAACGAACACCTTCATGTCACTGTCAGTCTTGTTGGATGTGAAGTGATGAATATATAGTGCATGCAACTTTATCTGTATAGAGTACATGCACATAAAGCGATATATATATATTATGTAGCCAATTTCAGCTGCTTGATTGTGTATATCTTTGCAAAATGTAAACTATATTATTGTCCAGCTCTAATCTGCTATGCGATTATAAGGCAAAAGGTATTGAGATATTATAAACATTAACATCATGATTTTCAGTAAAGCTGCTTTGAAACTATTTGTGTTGGCTTAGTAAAACAGGTAATGTTCTCCAGTGTGGTCACACATTTTAGCTTGTTTATTCGACTGATATTTTACTGTAACTCGCTGTTTGTTGAGCTCTTCGCTGTAAGTGTACACGTTCACAGCACAGCCCCTCTGTACCTGTGTGTTATCTTCTGTGCTTTATTTGATTGCGTGTGTCTCTCTGTGTGTCAGTGGGCATCTACAGTATCTGGTTCTACGATAAGGCCGACTGCCAGCGGATTGCACGGCTCATGCTACAGTGAGTATCTGTGATTTAACACTCAGCTGCCATCAGTAAAATGTTGGTTGCCTGGTAACTAGCGTGGGCTTGAGCAGTTGTCATGGCGATGTGTTGCCATGGCAGGCTGGTTGACACTCATATGCGAATGGGCGGTGAACTCGCCCTAGAGTCTGCTCATTAATATGGCACTGTGTGAATGGAACGGTTGATTTTGAGTGAATAATGTTTAACTAGAGAAGCCTGAATTGCTGTTAAATCTCTGTAGTCCCCAGCTGTTTTTCTGTGTGTGTAGGATAGTCAAACGGGAGGCGTTGCGAGTGTCTCCCGACAGAGGCCTGAGCGGCAGGACCAATGGTTGTGTTCAGAGCAGACCCACAGATATCCTGGAGCTGCTCAGCAAGGCTAAGGAGGAGTATCAAAGGGTATGACCACCCTCACGGCTCATTTCCCTGCTGTTTTTTGTTGTTCACTTTCACAGCAAAATTGCTGCTCAAATTGAAAGCACCTAGACCTGGTTATCCACGTTGTTAAGATCTATTATTATGTATTTTGTGTGTGTTTCTAGAGTCAGTCAGTGGAGAGAGATGTTCGGGTGAGCTCTGAATCTGCACCGTCACACGAGAAGAGAGAGGACATCCCAGCCGCTCAACACGAGAAGGTGCTGCTAATCACACACATCCAAGAGCACTTCTACTAGATTTGTGCAAACATTTTTTGCTCTTCTATTATAGTCAATACTAATCATCTCCGCCCAGTTGCAACAAAGCCCTTAAGTTAAGAAAACCCGAAGTTATCAGGTTAAGGATACCCTCTGTTAAGGATATTACCAAAACAGGTCCCTGCTAAACTTAAGTCAGTGGCTGATTTTGTTCATTTACAAAGGACGAAATGCCAAGATGCATTAATATTAAAATATATGGTTTAAACCAGTGTGTATTATCAAAAGCATCCTAGGGTGAGTTGAGTAACATTGATTCAGGACAAATATATTGTGGAGAGCGATGTGAGTGGTGCTCTGTGGCAGACAGGATTTTGTTCAGTAAAATAAGAACAGAAGCACAGTGAACAAACTGTTGTAATGGACTGGTTAGTTAGGATGTAATTCATGAAGTATTGTTACACTGTGCCTGGTGTGTATTTGCTGTATTATGTCCGATGAAGCATCCAAAATCCAGTATATTTTATTGCACTTTCACATAAGCTTAATTAAAAAGAATGTCAACTTGCATGGTTTGCTCTCACCAATCAGTGCAAAAGA